CAGCACAAATGAAGACTTGTCTCTTTCCAAACGCTCTTAAAGGACGATCGTTTTGACTGTTGACCGTGACACCCTCATCAGCAAAATGTCCAACATGAGAAAAGTGGAGCCGAGTGCAGGATTTTCCAAGAAAAATTGACTTATTCCTATTTGCATACAAGTTAATGTTAAAACATTGTGTTGAAATTGAATTTTTCTTGAAGTTTCAGGTTGTTCATAATATTATAAATTTTGTAAAAGAAAGAGTTCATCAATTAAAAAAGATTTCTGTAATAGATTTGCGTTTCTCTGCACAAATATTTGAACTTATTGTTATTTTTGGGGTTTATATGACATGAGTTTTCTGATCCGGCCCCTTTGGGATCAAAGTCGGTTGGATACGGCCCCTGGACCAAAATGAGTTTGACACCCCTGCTCTAGTGTATTCTGATTCCTGACCTAGTCGCTGGAGAGAAATGTCACCCCGACCAAGGAACAAAAAAGGAACCTTTGATAAAAATGGAAATGCTGCCTCTCTGACAATTAGACGTCAGTGTTTGAGTGGCAGCATGTCACGGTCCTTTGGAGGTGCCGACTCTTTATTGTGATGACGTTTATGGTGACGTCAGCTCCCACACCACAATTTTCTAACACAGAATTCTGTGAACTTGTTTCTTTTTTAAGTAATTTTAAATGAATATTGCAATAAAAAAAAATTTAAAAAGTAAATTATAACAATGATCCACAAGTGTCAGATTATAACTATAGATTATACCAGACACAAGTGCAAATAGGTACGCTTTAATACTATAGTGTGATAAATGTGTTTACCAATAGTGACCCAGAAACTTCTCAGGTTGGTCCATGTTTCTATTTATTACTTTTTTAACACGTTTTAAAGGTTTTTGCTACTGCATCTTTATGGACATTTGACACTCTTTCTTCAAACATGACAGATTTCCACAGCAACAGTATCTGGACTTTTGTATTTAAAGTAAATCTTACAATCTTACTTTACAATGCCAGCCTCCTTTTTAACTCAAATGACTCGTTATGCAACAAAACCACCAAAGCACAATCTTCATTCTGAAACCCCTCCACTGACAATGGCAGTAAAGCTGGATCTGGCTCAGATCCGGAGCTAACTGCCCCCAAAATGGCCCTCGCTTACATCGGCCTAATAAAATCAAACTGCTACTTAATCAGACGAGTGCGTTTCCATGTGTTTTCAATGGGGCATACATTTACCCTACAAGGCCTGAAATCTGCTGCAACGTCATTCGGCCAATCAGGGACGAGCTCGCGGTCACATGACCTTTTACGGCTTTGAGATGTCAACAAAACCCGAGCTCGTAACTGTTTTTGCACAAATCCTGGACTTCTTCACTGTTGTTCATATTATGTCATGAGTGTAATGGCTTTAAATTGCTCTAACTTTCACCACTTTTACTGTCACAATTTAAACATGGTACGCCCTGGAGCGAGCTTTTTCTTTTTTTTTTTTTCTTTTGTCCTTTACTTCTAGGACAAAAGTGCAGAAGTTGAACTCTCTCCCAAAACCCACTCTTAGTAAAATATGATGAGACAGATGCCAGGGTGAAACTGCCAGCTGCACAAAAGTCTTTTCATGTTCGCTGTTGGGCAGAATTCTTAAGTAATGGGTTTTCGGAATGATAAAACGCTGCTGTTGCTATAGTGATTAACAATTTAAAACAATATATATACAATGAGGTGATCAAAATGTTGCGTATCAGAGGCGGTGAGGCAATGAAAAACCTTTGTGAAAGCCTGATCTGCTCACATCTCCGAGGCTAAACAGGGCAGAGCATGATTGGTACTTGGACTGAAAATTGCTGGGATTACCACAGGTGCCACAGTGGGGCAGTAGTAGTGGCAAAAGCTGTTCTTGTGTCCTTAGGCAAGACATTTCACCCACATTGCCCATACGAATGTGGTGTGTGAGTGTCGGTGGTGGTCAGAGAGGCCGATGGCACCGACTGGCAGCTTCACGTCTGTCAGTTTGTCCCAGGGCAGCTGTGGCTAAAGGATTATCTTACCGCCGCTGAGTGTGGAGTGAGTGAATAATGCTATAAAAGTGCTATATATAAATTAAATGTATCAAAGGCGTAAGTTTGCATAGGGACGGTGGGGACATGTCGCAACCAGTATTCAAATACAAATAAAGGTGGTGATCTAAATATGTTGTTTGTAGAAAAAAAAAGAAAGAAGAAGATATAAATAATCTTTAAAAGTGAATTTCCCTATGAATCTGGAGTCGGAATAGGGATGTGGGGGCATGTCACAACCAATATCTGGGGAAGACAAAATAATCCCTACCAATATTTGACACTTTATTTTAATAAACAGAAATATAAATTTATTCCAATATTTTTCCAAACTCAATAGTATTAATTTAACATGTTTTAGTTCATTTGTTTTTTAGACGTTCTGAGATGTGTTCAGTGATATGACGACAGGGTTACTCCTGCCGCTGTTTCATTGGCTGCAACAGGGTGATGTCATTAGTGGAGCCAGGAGCCTAAACTGGGGAAGCGGCAGGACAGGGCCGCACCTGAAGGCAAGGCAAGTTTATTTGTATAGCACAATTCGTACACAAAGTAATTCAAAGTGCTTTACAGAATAAGAAATATATTAAAATCACAATAAAAACTAATCAAAACATAAATAATCATAAAGATTAAAATTAGAAGAGTGCGGAATGAGAACCTTTCTTTCATAGGCACAGTGAAACAGAACCGTTTTGAGCCTGGATTTAAACAGAGTCAAAGTAGAGTCTGTCTCACATGTTCAGACTGTTCCAGGTTTTAGCTGCGTGAACCTGAAACGCTGACTCCCCTCGCTTAGTCTTGCCTCTGGGCACCAGCAGGAGGCCGGTCCCTGAGCTCCTCAGACTGCGAGATGGTTCATATGACACTAACATGTCACCAATGTACTTTACACAAGCAGAGCTGCTTTAAAGTCTCTGAGCCACAGGAAGCCAGTGCAGAGACCAGAGCACAGGACTTATGTGCTCGTACTTCCTACCTACACCTGAAGATGTCGGCTTGAGCAGCGTGAGTGAAGACGCTGCACCAACATTTTCAAAAGGAACTTACTCTGCTTCATCTTCAATTAAACTTGTCTTATAACGAGTTGCCACGGACAATATTCCATGGAAAAATGTTTGGACATGACCTCACAAATATGTCATCACCAACAAGCAAAGAGAAATCTGCTACAACCATCTACATCACTGTTTATCCACTAAAGAATCATCTTAGAAGGACGATGGACACAAACTGAAAAATGAAACCACCTTTTCACTTATTTTGGACCTGCCCAGACTCTGTGTGTTTTTGGAAGGAATTCAGAAAACATATAAACAACTTCTTCTCCCGTTTGACCCTTTCTTATGAAGATGTGCTGTTTGGTTTGCTGGAAAAAATATTTTTAATTCATCTGTTAATCAAGTAAACTACCAGTTGGTTTCATGAGACCAAAGCTGAGACCAAACCTACGCCCTTGAAATGTTTTATTATAATTTTAAACATTTGCAATATATTTTAAATATATAAACATAATCTGAATTAAAGTTGAACTATGCAGGTTTTCTGGTAAAGGTTATTGCATGGTCTGGGATATCTGGGTTTAAGTATTAGCTGAGCTTTGTCGGTAAATGTTTTCAAATGTGGTTAAACTTTTTGCCAGTTTCTATTTGATGCAGAAAAGCTCATAATGACAAACATACAAACCGTAAACCAGGTCACAACATCTGTGTTCAAACAACTCCTACAGAGAGCTCTTGACTCAATCTCAACCACCTCATTCCGAACCATTTATGACTTACTGCTTCCTGCTGCAACATTTTAAGGACCCTTTCCCAAAATATATCAAGTTTAGTTTTAAATTACAACGGACCTAATGTACGGAAGCCGAGAGGGGTCACAACAAACGCAAACAAATACAAATGCGACGACACAACAAAAAGCCACAACACACCAAAAAATGCCACAACGGAAGTGACCGCGGGACTCTATTTTCCGACGGACCGATCAAGCGGCAAGTGAAGAAGAAGAAATACAACGTGAAAAGTAAAGGAAGGAAGCTGGAGACGTAAGTAGAAGTAATTTATTGTTTTATCATTATTCGTTTCACGTTGTAGTTCTTCTTCTTCACTTGCCGCTTGATTGGTCTGTCGGAAAATAGAGTCCCGCGGTCACTTCCGCTGTGGCTTTTTAATGTGTTGTGGCTTTTTAATGTGTTGTGGCATTTGCGTTTGTGTTGTGGCATTTGCATTAAAATACAGTCACACAGTAATTTCCGTTGTGGCTTTTTTTGGTGTGTTGTGGCTTTTTAATATGTTGCGGCATTTTAATAGTTGCGGCATTTGCGTTTGTGTTGTGGCGTTTGTATTTGTTGTGGCGTTTGCATTAAAATAGAGTTACGCAGTAATTTCTGTTGTGGCTTTTTTTGGTGTGTTGTGGCTTTTTAATGTGTTGCGGCATTTGCGTTTGTGTTGTGGCGTTTGTATTTGTTGTGGCGTTTGCATTAAAACAGAGTTCCGCAGTAATTTCCGTTGTGGCTTTTTTTGGTGTGTTGTGGCTTTTTAATGTGTTGTGGCTTTTTGATGTGTTGTGACTTTTTAATGTGTTGCGGCATTTGCGTTTGTGTTGTGGCGTTTGCATTAAAACAGAGTTCCGCAGTAATTTCCGTTGTGGCTTTTTTTGGTGTGTTGTGGCTTTTTAATGTGTTGTGTCTTTTTAATGTGTTGCTGCATTTGCATTTGCGTTTGTGTTGTGGTGTTTATATTTGTTGCGGCGTTTGCATTAAAATAGAGTCCCGCGGTCACTTCTGTTGTGGCTTTTTTTGGTGTGTTGTGGCTTTTGTATTTGTTGCGGCGTTCGCGTTTGTTGTGACCCCTCTCGGCTTCCGTACTAACGCCTCACGCTTCTGAAACCCACGGAAAACTCGGCAGAAGTGAACACGAGCCGAACATAAAACCTCGCGTACGTAAGACTCACTTCTGCAGGTTGAGGCTGAGGTTCCCGGTGCAGTTCTTGATCTTGTTCTGAGCCTCCAGGTGGTTCATGCTGTCGGTGGCGATGCCGTCGATGGAGAGGACCAGGTCTCCCACGGCGATGCCCCCTTTGGCCGCCTTCCCTCCGTCGGTCAGCTGCACACAATCACAACAGGTTTCATTAAAGACCCACGGAGCCTGGATTTACCGCAGGATTTATGGACTTATGTCTTCTAATGACAGAGTACAGATAATACTACATGATGGAGGTTCTCTGGAGCGTGTTCTGATGTGGTCAGGGCTCAGCTGCTGTTTAATACATGTCCTCCGACCACAACTAAAGCTGAAAATTACAAAGAAACACTTGATATCAAAAGAAAGAAAGTTTTAAAATGGCCACATCACTGTTATTATATTTAAGAGAAGTATTTATTGGATAATCAGGATTCTTTTCTGGTAATTAAAGCCACCTTATGCCACTTTTTAGGTTAGGGTTAGGTTGTGTTTTTTACACTGAAAACCGGGCTTGCCACTCCACAAATCCGACTCTTACTCTCCCCCTGCTTGTTTTCATGGAAATACTGTCCCCATGGCTATAATTATCCACAGTACAACATAAAACTTCATGGAGATGTCGCTTTGTCTAAAATGTTCTGTAGTATGGCATTAAACCCTTCTATCTTCATGGAGGTCAAACCAGACCAAGTTACAGGTCAGATCTGTGGAGAGGCGACCCTGCTCACAGTCAGAATGTCTGTTTTTCTAGGTATGTTTGAGCAATAAAACCACCTGTAATTGAATAAATGTAAGGTAGATCTGTTTAATGCCACACTGTGGAACATTCCAGGCAGAGCAATGACATCTCCATAGAAACAAGCAGGTGACGGGCCCCCAATTGAAAAGTTACACAGTGCACCTTACACTGCAAAAAACAAAATCTAGTAAAGTTAAGATGACGTGAATTAAAAAAAAGTTTCATCATTGTTTGTTTGTTTGTTTTTTAAATGTATACAGCACTTTCCACATACATTTGTGACACTTTACAGAGCTTTATTCAGTCACTCCAGACCCAGTGGTGGTAAGATACTACTGCAGCCACAGCTGCCCTGGGGCAGACTGACTGAAGCATGGCTGCCAATTGGCACCATCAGTCCCTCTGACCACCACCATCACTCACGCACTCACCACTTTCATGTGGTGAAGTGCCTTGCCTAAGGACACAACGAAAGGGTTTTTTTTTTTTGTTTGTTTGTTTGTTTTTATGACTGGCGCCCCACTGTGGCACCTGGAATTCCCAGCAGTCTCCCATCCAACTAACCAGACCAGCCCGGCTTAGCCTCTGATGAGATCAGGCTTTGAGAAGCTGATATGGCCATGATAAATTTCACTTGACTTGACTCACTTGACACTTATCTGACAGTGGAACAAGACTTTTTACTGTTAAAATATGAAAATACATCTTGCTACACTTAAAATAAGAAAAACAACAACTCTTTGCCCTTAAAATAAAAAACTAAATTGAATGTTGCTTAAATTAAGAAAAACACACTGATTACATTGGTAGGTCATTTTACCTCTTGAATCAACTGAAATAAAGTAAAATGTTCGTCATTTAAGTTATTTTACCTTTAAACATACTCCTGTCAATGAAAATGAATGACACTCCCCCTTCAGAGCGCTATAGCAACACAAGCAGCGTGCATCCCCCTAATGAAATGACTGCACATCACACCAGGTTTGTGAAGTTGTAGTGTATTGTTTTGTATCAGGTTTTAGTATATTTATGGAGAATTGTTGCACATGGATGAGCATTGAACAGGATCGCACTCCTGACCATTGGGGGGTTCAAATAGTGCACAGGAGAGATTGTTGGAATCCTGAAACGTGCATGGAGTTTCAATTTTGCCTAATAACCTCAAATAGTGGATACTTTTGACTTTTACTTCATTACATTTGAGAACGTGTATCTATACTTTCTTCCCCACTACATTTTAAATCTGGATAGGTACTTTTGGACATTTTTAGCACATTTAATTTGAGTTTCTGTCCGAACTTTGAGCAAAACAAATACACAAAAACAGCGATAAAAGTTACAAAATCAAATGAATCACTCATCAGCCAAATTTATTACCAAAGTCACTACATTTCATCCTTTAATTGTTCTAAAATCTCAGCAAATTACTTTTACTTTTTACTCTTTAAGCACATTTTCAAACAGGTACAAGTTGATTTTTTCGCGTGATCCTTTTTCATGAGTAACTTTTTGCCTTTGTATCTGTATTTTTACTTAAGCAACAAAACTGAGCACTTCATCCACCGCCGCCTTTACGACCTGCTGTTATACGAGACAGGAACCAAAAAAAAAGGAACACTAAAAAGGTCTCGTTCCCACAGTTTGCCGAGCAGGAAATTGTGGCGCACGTTGAGAGGCAGCGCCGCGACGCACACGCTCGCCGCTGCTAACATGTCCACATAAAACCCGGTCAAACTAAACTCTGCGATTCTTCTGCCAGTAAAAGGAAGTAACTGCGGTGCTAAAAAGGTGACAAATGACCAGTGGGGTTTGGCATCGCTTACACGTTCCACTTCAACAAGCCAGAAAACCAGAATCCAGTAGTTTTCATTGATGAATTGTATTTTAATGACGCTTTTACTGCCTTAAAATTTTGAAAAACAAGACGAAAGTTATTCCTCGCTCGACCCACATCCTAATTATTCACCGCAATGAGGTTATAAGCACTTTTCACAACTCTCTGAAACCAAAGCCGAGTTTTGCCATGACATCAACGAGCACGCGTCCTGATTCTTGGACAATAAAACGCTCAGACAGCACACAGTAGACAGTACCATATTTTTTGGACTATAAGTTCTCCGTCCCCGGTTTCCATCAGTTCCTCACAGGTTTCTTGCTCACTCCAAACTTTCTTTCTGCTGCTCGATTACTGTTCGGCTGCATATTTAACTACTTGCAGCAGGACAGAGGCTCTTTCTGCAGGAGACAGGCGCAGTAGAGTGAAGTGACAGTGGTACAGGAGGAACAGGAGCAGCAGATACTGACACACAAGACGAGAACCTCTCACGACTTCAGTGTGAAAATTTTAATATATAAGTCACATCAGAGTTTAAGTCACAGGAAACACCCAAACCACGAAAAAAAGTGTGACTTATAGTCCAAAAAATACGGTATTTCACAGTATAAAGAAGTGGACTACGTGAGTGTGACATCGTTGGGTCCAACTCAAATGAAGCTCATTTAGGCTAGAAGTTACAGGAGCGAATGTGAAGCTGAGTTCCATATTAGGCATAGGAATTTATTTAAAGACAAAACAGTGACATGAAAACACCAGGATCATGTCAACCTTTTAACTGGAAAGAAACGGAGGGACCACATCACTCTTATTCTTAAATCTCTGCATTGGTGTAGCCAGGCTGGTGCCACCTAGTGCCTCCACTCAATTTCATTTCTCTCCAGCGACCAGGTCAGGAATCAGAACACACTAGACGGTTTGCAAGAACCCTAGAAGTGCGAGTCCGGGCACCAGCCAATCAGCGGAGAGCCATATATTCTGTGTTGGCAACAATTCCCGAGATCGAGGATTTAAAACTGGAACAAAGAGAATGTTCAATGAATTTTATCAAGGAGAAAGACGTTATTGTCCTTCTTCCTACGGGATTTGGCCCATTACATACGTCACGACCAAATAGCAGTGATTGGTTAAATAAAATTAGAAAAGCACTCAGAGAGCGCAGACCTCCGCCAAGGACTGCAGTCCCCCTCATATTAATTGTGTTTTCCATAAATATTTGTCTCGTATCTTTCAATTTGGAATATGAAAGAGGATCCCATTGTCCATCCCTGAGTCAAATTTCATGGGGTTTGGTCAATAATTAACCGAGATATTGAGAAACTAAATTTTTGGCCCCATTTACCACAATGTTAACTAAAATTTCAAAGTGATCCACAATCCAGGATTTCTTCCGGATCACCCCCAAAATGAAATCAGTTCTTCCTTTTCACATTTCCAACAAATCCGGAAACTTTCATCAAAATCAGTCCATAACTTTTTGAGTTATGTTGCTAACAGACAAACAAACAAACAAACAAACAAACAGAGAAACGCTGGCAAAAACATAACCTCCTTGGCGGAGGTAAAAAGTACCCGCCTACCGACGAGTGAATGAATCCTAATGCTGCAAGGTCAGACAGTTTCCACAAAGTGAAACCGGCTGATGAATCAGGCCAGCATTGGCTCCCTGTACATTTTACATTCCATTTTCAAATTTGAATGATTGTTTTTAAGAGTCTTAATGGAATGGCACCTTCCTATTTACCTGAACTCCTTCAACCTCATCATGTCCCATCCAGAGCTGACATTAGAACTGCACAGTCACTGGAGCACTTTAAATCCTCGCTCAGAACGCACCTTTTTGCCTTGGCATTTGCCCAGAGTTAGGAAGAGACACTTTGGGACCTTGCTGTTATTATATTTTTATCATTATTCTGCTTGATTTGCTTATTGTACATTTTTATTTCACTGTAAATGTTATTCAGCACTTTGATAAGCTTTGGCTGTTTTAAATGTGCTATACAAATAAATTTGATTTGATTTTTGATTTGATTTGAGCGGGTTATTACAAATATTTTAAGACCAAAATGACGAGGCTCACAGCAGCGGTCACAGAGGAAGGAGAGGCATTTTTCCCATTTATACAAGTATATACAGTCTATGGTTGAGTAGTAGTTCCTCCAAGTACGTTTTACTTTTACTTGAGTAATTTCTTGGTCCAATACTTTGTACTTTTTTAAAAATTATTGTTATTTTGAAGTAACATTACCCTAGAATTTTTGGTAAAATGTGGGTCTGGCAAATGCTTTTCTCATTGGAGATGTTATTAATTTGTCTGGAATGTTTCGCAGTATGGCATTAAACCTTTCTATCTTCACGGAAACCAAAGCAGACCAAGTTACAGGTCAGATCTGTGGAGAGGCGACCCAACTCACAGTCAGAATGTCTGTTTTCTGGGTATTTTTGAGCTGTAAAACCACCTGTAATTAAATAAATGTAAAATTCCAGGCAGACATTTACTTTTACTTGAATATTCCTTTGCTCTGACATCTGTATTTTTACTTAACATAATCGAATGCTTCTTCCACT